TTACATAGTTAGACTCAGTGACTGTTGATTATGTCATCGTACCCATAGTGTGGGGTGTGCATAATATCAATCACTGGTTCGTCAGGTCTAGATTCAATGACAGGCTGCCATCATACAGCTGGAATATTGCTGAGTACTGTGTTAACTTACAAGCATGGGGTGCTGGGAACCCACGCTTCAAGGCACCCTCACAGGAGCAATCATGGAAGGTTTGGAATAGATTGATGGTATTGCTAACGATTCATAGGTCACTGACGGACATTGTTATAAATGTGATAATGAAAATCAGTTGTGATTATGTGGCTGTGAAACAATAGTCATAAACCATATTCTGTATGATCACTCACATGTCTTAGAGAATAGCCACTGTACAGTTACCAGAGTTGACCACAGTTGCCTCCCCTTGACTGATCCCATCTCAAGGCACGTGGAGCATATCACTGAAATGGTGCCATATTCTACCCTTGAAAAATTGCGTCTTAATGATCAACTTTTCCGGAAAAAAAGGAGATAATTGGGATTAATAATCATATAATTTTTATTGTAAAAAAATGTAATTCTTATTTCCATACATTTCATACCACACCAGGCTCTAAAATATGTCACAAGTGACATGGTAAGTGGTAATTTTTTGCTGCCCAATATGAATGAGGATGCAATTTCTCTCTAGTATATGGAAAATTGAGTTGTAAGGGCAATTTGAATGAATCTAAGTGAGGCTGGAAACAGACACTTGACCCTGGATTGGAGGCTGAAGTTGTAAATAAATTGAAGTAGTAACTAGTGATTGTAAAGGTGGAGGCCATGGTGGTGACACAAGTGAGTTTGTCACTCGGTGACTGTGGTTGTAAATAATAGGCTGAGGTTGTTACTGGAAAGCTGAGGTTGTAAATGAGTGACCAATATTGAAAACGAGTTAATGGGGATACAAATGTCTCATTGAGGCTGGAAATGTCCGAGGTGAATGATGTTGAAAATAGTGACTCAACATTGTTGTAAATGATAGACTACAGTTGTGGGAAACTAGAGTAGAAACTGAAACTAGAGTGAAAATGAGTTAATGGGGATAAAAACATCTTATTGAGGTTGCAAATGGGTGACTGGTAGGGCTGAGACGAGTCCAAATTTACTAACCAGGTATCCGACCCCCTATTAAACGACCCTACCAAGGTACCCACTGTAGCTCTCAAAAGTAGGGTACAAAATGTCCAATTGGGAATTGTTTTACCAGAGCCTGGCAAAATCTATTTAGATAGTAATATATATCGTCGGATCATAGGTTTTCGGACATCATACAGTTTCGCACAGCCATGTTTATCGTGATTACTCGTGCTATAACGGGGTGTAGCATCACACAGACATTGTTAATAGCCTGACAACACAGGGATACACTATATAAAACGATCTGATCATACATACATTGAAGTTGACTGAAGCTTTATCTTTAATAAAGCATATGAACGTCCGAAGGAATGCGTGTATAGTCAGAAAGAAATGTGAACATTACTGACTCGTAGTGTAACCACAGAATTATAGTAAATTTTTGTCATTAAAGACTATGTCACATGACAAGCATCAGATCCGGGTAGTCCTGTAGGTACCTGGGTCCTACTCAGTACCCATCCAAGCCCTAGTGACTGGTTATAAAAATGGTGACTGAGGTTTTAACTAATAAACTAAAGAAGTATTAGGGAAACTTAGAGAAAAGAAGGTAATAAATGGGGGACTGAGGTTATGAAGGCAAAGGTTTGGGTTGTACAGAATTAAGCACAAAGAAAACTAAAGTGCAGAGTCAGCCTGAAATTCAAGGTGGAAAATAACAGCATATGAGACTCTGGTAGGAAGCAAAACAACAGATTCTACAATGTTTAAGGTGAACCTTTCAAACTGATTTTTCCTTTCCTTACTTCTCCACACATGTACTTAGTATGAGGCAGTGTAAACTACCTGAACTGTCGGGATACTCAGGGGACAATTAATACCATCAACTGAAGTTCTCCCTTTAGGCTATGTCTAAATGTGTAATTGTAATGACAAACTGGTGCTGTGTATTTCATAGATTGAAGATAAATAAACTTCTAACAATATTTAGACAAAGCGTAACAATGTAATGTATGGAATTTCATGAAACTGCAAAAATACTGATAACAATTGTCAAAGCACTGATCATCTCTCATCAACTTTACCATCCTGGGTGACAGCAATTCCCAATGTATACCTGTCGTTTCGCCATCACCCTGGGAAGATTATATCTATTGTATTGATTTTCAACAATAGGTATTAAAACGTCAGTGGCTATCGGGCATGTTTGGAAGTGTTTTGAACACGACAACTGAACTGCAACAGCTGAGCTCACTATCATCATTAACAAATAACTTTTCCATTATACATAGGTCTCCATGACCAAACAGAATTTGTGATTTATATGAACAGAACTAGGACTTTGGGTGAAAATAATGTCAGACTAACTTAATAACATTGTCTGGACTTTTGAATGTTGAATGTATTAAGATTGAGCTGACACCATCTTTTGCAGATCCAAGTCATGTATATTATTTAACAATCAACCACATCTGTGTTCAGTCATTTGTTCCGTACATTTAAGCTAGTATGGTGACATCACGCTGTTAGTGAAGTTGACACTGAGCCAGGAATTCACAGGCAATTCTGAACATGCATTTCAACAAGTAAAACCTACACAACTATAGGTCAATATGTAAAATTATAGAGAAATTATATATCAACCATAACATATGCTTTAAGTCAGGGAAATGACTAGAACCACAAGTAGAATCAACAGATTTTCATGATATTTCCTTTACATTGACATCACAGCTTGTTATTCTGAAAAGTAATTTTGTGACTCATGCTTATTATTTTCTTATTTCAACTTTTTGTTGGTCTTAATCCACCAGTGGGGACTTTGGGGCAGAATTGGTACCCAGTCCTAAATGCGTATTATATTCTGGAGCCTGGACAAGTGTACATTGACTTTTCACTGTAAAATTTTCACTTAAAATTGACTTGTCCATATATGGTATTATTTAAAAATGTGTTTGGTCTTAATCAAGCCAACAATGAAACACCAATCCTCCAAGGTTGAGCAAACTTGTCTATATACATGCTAAACATTAAGACACAAACATTGAGCAACTCAAAATAATTAGTTTGTATTAAATACTTTAATCTCTACATCAATTTTTTTATATATTTCCTTTTAAAAACTGCACATATTACTGGTAGTTACCTAACCTGTCAGTGTGACTGCACAGGGGAATCACACTGTGGTAATTTGAAACCCTGCTTTACAGGTTCAGCTGTTCACAATGTGTGGCCTGACTATTATGTCACAGTGCCCGGACAGGATGGATCGTTGCTCATGGTGTCAACCACAGGCTTGTCCGGACTGGACTTGATCATTTACAGGCTACCATGATATAGCTGGAATATTGCTGACTGTGGCTTAAAACAACATACATTGATAAACATTTACCCTTTGCATATTCATACATGAGATGTACTTTGGATTGTTTTATTTTCATCTCCATCACTGCTTGTGTGTCTATCAGTGCCAGATCTGTGTGATGTATCTGTCCAGTCCTGTATCAGCCTCTTCAAACATTATACATTGTTGTAATTTCTTTCTGAAATATAGGCTTGTATGAAATAGAAATATACATATCAATATATGATCTTTTTATTCATCAAATTTACATATAAGAATTATTCAAAAGTCACTTTTGACTTTTAAACACTTTTTCACAGTTTTAATGAATATAAAACATATCCCAAGGGGCAAGTTAAACAAAGATGATATATAGACAACAATAAATTTCAACCTATCATTGTCAGAATGGTGAATACACTGGTATCATTATATGAAGGAGATCTGCTTCTTGATATGTTAATATCATGTACATTTCAAAAGTAGACCGACAGGGTCACCTTTGAGAAGGAAAGTAACATCCAATGTACATGCTCAAAAAGTGTATCTCATACAGTATTCGTCTCCAGTGCCAGAGATAAGACATTTTTGTCTGAAACCGTATCAATCAGTCGTTTTTAAAACATACATTTTGTTTCAGCAACTTGTAAATATTCATAAAAAAAGATGAAACATAAATGCATATTTACTGTATGATCATACTTTATTTCATATGAATATGATTAGCACTTATCTAAGATCAACTGTTACAATGATTTCTTTATCAGAAATTAACCTCAGTCAGGGAGAACAACGTTATAAATGAAACCCTATGAATGTAAGACATGTTTTCATCCAGACACACATATTGGCGCTGTTTCAGCCACCAAAACAACATCACAGACACTTTATTGGAATGTACGCCATGCAGTGTATAAGATAACCACAGACAATTACAAACACTTGTCTTTACTTCAATGGATGATAAAAACATACCCAATGGACTTCAAACAGTTTTAACTGATCGTTATGTTTTCCTGTTCTCAAAAATGCTGAAGGCAGTATTGAAAAATGCGAGGACAAAGAAACATAGGACTTTCATGTATTGTAATAAAGTCATCATCGAAGCTTTGGTAGATGTTATTTTTTCACTATGGAAACCCAAAAACTTGTATAAAATTATGATCATAATGACATGATTGAGTGATATATTGACTGATAGAGTGAATGAACAATGTCTTACCCTGAAGTATCATGGTAAAACAAAATGGATGCCAATGATCTACACCATCAGAAAAAGATTCAACATGATCAGCCCGATCACTGCTTGTTGCATTGCTAGTAGCCATCTCATTCCCATTGTTTCCAAACACAAAAGTTCTCAATGTAATTGATATAGTAATGAACCATCATACAGAACTTGATGACGACATGCATATAATGGCATGGATTTATCTAGACCTGCTCAGAGGCCAATATAAAATTTGAGGTGAGGTGAAATGGGGTTCAACTTAGCATTCAAGATTATTGCACTCATATAGTGACATGCATGCACGTGTATGTGTGTGTGGCTGCTTGTACTAGTCACGGCAACTGCCGATTCTATAGTGCTAACCCACTGAGATACCTTTTGGTATGATGTGGCTGGGGATCGAACCCATGACCTTCCTTTCTCCAGGCAGAAGCTCTACCACTAGACCAGGAAGGCGGTCTAACAAATTGGATTTAAAAAGTTTTCCAAGACTTGTTATTATGGTAATAACTAATGTTAATCTTCGCAGAGGTGAGTTGCATTTCACTAACAACAGGACCAATAAAAACTGCAACGTTTAGTTTTACATTGAATTAAATGTTAAAATACCCTTTACTTTTTAGGAAAATAAGGACTTATTAGAAAACACAAAATTTTGAACAAAATTACCTTTTTTCACAAATTTGTCTGCCAAGGGAACTTAGTTTGGACTCCCAGTTAATCTCTGAATGGACTTGTTACAAAACAAGGACCTGTATACACATAATACCTGTTCTAACAAATCACTGAATTTTATCATATGCATCTGGTTAGAATGCGGCACAATAAGTTAAACAAGTGACATTAAAACTGGAGCAAATACCTTTTGCCTTTTGAGTCAGCAGCGATCTGTTAACCTTCACATGATACATTCAAAGACAATTGGCTTTCTTCTCAAACACTGGCTCCCACTGTGATATTGTTTTGAATTGCATCAGATCACTGACTGGTGAATTGACATCTGCACGAGCGTGAGGTATACCGTAATTGTTCAAATCTTAAACTGGTGATTATATGTTTGACTATCTTTACATAAATGGATATTTTTGTACGCATATCTAAAGTATCAGTTTACTGGCAAAACTCTTGGGCAAGGAGGAATTTGTGATAGTGCAAAGTTTAAACATGCCATCTCAATGACATCCCCTTTCAACTGTGATGTCAAACAATTATCTACAACTAGAATACAATGCAGTGAACATCTATTTTTCAGTCCTGCTTGTGGGAACTTTCCTTGCCATCTTATTCTCGTGAAACCCTCAGTAAACAATTAAAAATACTAGAAAACAATAAAGAAAATTATATCTTTTCAATTGTTTAAAAAAATTAGGAAACAAGGTATATATATGGTTTATACATCAATACACCTAATTGAATTCCAAAAGTCTAGTCAATTCATACTGTAAATATCACAGTGAATATTTGCAAGACATATTATTTGCTACCTGAAATTGACTTCAGCAGAAACAAATATCTTGATCACATCCCAGTCTAATTAATTCCACAACCCAGACAGTCTTCACATAACAATGTTTAAAAGGAACATGACATTTTGGCATACCATCATTTTATTCACAAAATATGACAAAGAGTGATGAGTGCACCAGACACGCTTCATCTTCCATCCTCACACTTCCAATATGATGAAACGGCAGTGATACTTTGTTCGTGAGGGTCATGACAGTTTTCTGAGACAGAACTCTCCGCATGCATGCATGGTCCAGAGTTGTAAAACACAAGTGCATGTTTCACTCTTTCTGCAAGTTGTTAATACAGAGACACTATCACTGTGTACTCTTGCTCTGGTGTTTCTTTAGCATGGCCTTGATAGCCCGTGCTCTCATCTCCAGTTCCAGCAGCTCCATCTGGTTCTTGGTCAGCACAGGTGTGATGGTGTCACCAGCCTCTGCTGCCACCATCTTATGCTTCAGAGACTCGGCCACCTCTGCCATCTTCTTCCCATCTTCAGGATCCCTGCTGCTCTGGCTGATAGCCTTGCTCTTATTTGATGCTAGTTCAACCTCTTCCTCCACTTCCTCACCATCTTCTTCCTGATCTTCACTGTTACCTTCACCTTCTACATCTGCAGATCCTTCTACCTCCCCGATATCATCTTCTTCCTCCACCTTTTCCTCTTCACCGTCTTCCTGTTCCTCCATATCCACCTCCAGATCACTTCCTTCATCTCTTGGAGGTGTTCTCCATTCACCTTCTGATTCTTCTTCAATATCCATCTAGGAACAAACATATCAATGAAAACAAACTGTTATTTAAATAATCTATGATACTCTATAACATTCAAATAATTTCCACCTAATACAGTGAACTAGGACATTGTATCACACTCACCTGCTCCTCATCCACTAAGAGACCTTTCATTCCCACAGTCTTGTCCCTACTGAAAGGAAATAAAATCCTCAAACACAACACAGCTAAAATATGAGACTTTAAAGCCTACCTAAAACTTGGGTGATTGAAACATAATAGATCAAATATATGCAATATAAAGATCAAACTAGAAAAACAGGTAGAACATTCGTTTTGCCTTTGATATCTTTTTTTTTTGCCTTTGAAAAGTGCTTTCACTCAGAGCACGCAGAAACTGTTTTATTAAGAAACTTTATTTGATAGGATCCTTAATATACATGACATACCTTCATTTTCATTTTGGCCTTTATAGGAACTTGACTTGTATATGGATAGACTTTTTTTTACATTTTTAACAAAATTTACAGTCAGCAGATCCGTAGCACAAGTGAAAATAAAAGGTGTGGCCTTATCTACCTTCATTATCTCCTAGTAAACTGGACTTGTAAGAAACAAATACTATCAATTATGTATTGATACATCCACTAAAGGGAGTGTAATTGGCTAAAGTGTCAATTTCAACACGGCAGCTGCAACGGCCATGACATTTTTAAAACTGTCTGGAATTAAGTAATGAATTAAGTAAACACTGTTTTTGGATTTGAAGTTTACTTGGTGTGTCTACTTATATTAATTACAATTCATGATAACATGCTTCAGAAAGCATGTAATGAAAGCAGTAATGTGATCACAGTCATTTCATGTTTGAAGTTTAATACTGCAATCCTGTAATGTTGGCTGTTTCAACCACTGTTGTGATGGTTGATATAGCAAACAATTTTCAGTGTTTGTGAAATTTAGTTTTCAGTGGGTATGGGGGTTAAAAATAAAATTAATTAACTTCAGAGTTTTGTCCTACTGGGAATTGGGGGGGGGGGGGGGGGGGGAGAGAATCGTCTCCAGTATCCCCTCCCCTTGTCAGAAGACTACTGAGGACAATACAGATAGAATGTCTAACCTGAATGATTGTGTGTCAATGTGCCCCAAACACATGGAATATTGCTCATGCATTCAACCATGGGTAGACAGTTGGGCCTGACTAAAAGTGAGTGATATTTAGTGTAGCATATAACAACATTCATTCAATACAAAAATTTGGATGTATCAATGATCTAGGAATGCATGTGTACTTCATACATATGTTCATATGGTGTGAATTTGAAAAAAAGTATTGTATGTAGTGCAGAGAAATACCATGTGATTCAGCTGATTAAGTAGAATCCATTATAAACCAATAACTGATGTTCGATCCCTGACCGCGTCATACCAAAAAACGTTAAAAGGAGGTGCTTGTTGTAACCCTGTCTTGCGCTAGGCATTAAGGGGCTAAAACAAGGACTGGTCTGTTCAGAGTCAGTATACTGTGTCTGAGTGGGGTTTTTCATGTTAAACCGTGGCATGGTATCTCAGTGGGCTAGCACTAAATCAGCATCAATCTGGACTAGTACAAGCAGCAACACACACACATGCATGCTAGTCGCTATATAAGTGTCATAATCCAGATATAATAAATGTTTCAGATCCTGACCCATGCCATTAGATCTGATGCGGATTGGGTGGTTTCACTGCATGACCTGAATAGTGTGTCAGCTTGCCCTAGCAGTGTGGATTGTTGCTCATGCCACAACCACTGGTTTACAGGATCTGATTAACTACAGGCTGCCATGATGTAGCAGGAACATTGCTAATTGCAGTCAGTGTAAACAACATTGACTGCTCCTCTACCAAACAGCTCACCTGTCCTCCCCCTCCTGCTCCTCCCCAGTCTGAGAGGTGGAGTCGGCCGCCTGCTGTCCTGCTGCCTCTTCCACACTATCTATAACACAACATGGCAATATACACTTAACTTCAAACAGGGATCTATCTTATTCCTAGCTAGCCTGCTAAAGTCACCAACAATGAACCTCAAAACAACAAATTACAATACCTTACTTTTATCAAGCCTCTATTTACATGATGATACATGCTTGAAAAATAACTGCAGCAGAACATTTGACCACCCAAATAAACAAGACTTGTAAAAGCTGCCAGGTTCAGTCAGTTAAATTGTCGTCAACACAATCAAGGAATACTCATATTCACCTGTTGTGAAGCCATATTTCCCAAAAAAGATAGTAAATATATACAGTAAAGTACAGTTATAACAAACTCATAGGGACCACTAATTTTAATTTTTATAACCGTAGATCGTTATAAGCATATGTACGGCATATATATATATAACAAATGGTTGGGACTCAACAATATGTTCATTTTATATCCGTCAGTTCTTTATAAAAGTGTTCATTATGAACATGGTTTACTGCATAACTGTTTCATGTTTCAAGATTCTCATCCATAGCTTATCAAATAGCAAGCAATTGTTTCATCCCCTTTGTATCATCTCCCAACCCTTTAACTTGCAGGTAGTTTACATGTTTCGAGAAATGAACTCCCACGTAACAGTCAAGTAAATGATCAAGGTAATAATCAATAACACTCTTCAGCTTAAACAGGATCTGTATCCTTTAGATGTGATGCCCAGTTCATCAAATAAGATAAATAATAATCATTGCATTAAACTTAATCAAAATTCAGGTCATGTCCCCAGACTGCTACATCTCTTGAATAAATACTCAGACGCCAAGATTGCACAAATCAGTTCCAATATTTCACTTATGAGAAGAATGCATACCAGTAAGATTTTAAGAACGCAGAGAAATTCTTGAAGATTAATCTGTTGAAATACCTCAGCTTTCATTTACAGCCTGTGTTTTGGTTAATCAGCTTCAGAAAGCTTTGTCTGCTGGTGTGTTCGCACTGTAATTTACATTTTTATTTATTGCATGGATGAACTTTCCGCAATTATATCGACTACCAAACTAGCTGTCTGGGTCACAGACAGTTTATTCCTCAATTATTTCAAAATGTTCAATTTCCTCGCACTGAAAAACTATTCATAACACATGGGACATAAAAACGCTCTCACAGCTCATTTCCAGCATGCCTTTCTCTTCCCTACTGCTAAAATGGAGTTTATGTTGTACATCATTATAATTAATCAATTTCACTGATGTCTGCCAGAAATAATTTTCAAATTTATCAAACCATTTTAAGTGAGGCCACAGTTTAGCTAGAAAAAGCTCTGAATAGCAAATTTATTTCAATCGAATTTCACACCCAATATTTCAACATCTAAAGCATTTAAATTCCTTCATCTTTCCATTAGACTGAACATCAAAATAAGATAATATCCATGGGTTCAATTTGAAAGCGATTACATCCTGCGACATAAAAGGGCATTAATTCAGAATGCGCTAGAAAACTCTCAATACGAAATAAACACAAACGTCTTGAGCTTGTGGAATCATATAAGTTATTGCATTTCTAACACTTCAATTCATGAAAATTTCATAATCTTCATTTTATACTGCATGGCTTCGAAAATACACTCCGATTACGATCACATCAGTGTTGTTTCTTTCAATTATTTCATTTATCGCGATTGAACGTAATCCACTTGACCGGCATCTAAAAGGAACGACGGCAACTTTGCCAATTCAAATACCTTTGATGTTACTCACTGCGATTGATAACTCCCACAAAGAAGATCTTAAATTTGATTTGCTACACTTTCTATTTCAGGAAGTGAAAATTGTAATTTTTTTATTTCAACAATCAAAGATGATATCTGTATACATGCCATAACGAACAAACAATTTCTCCCAAGAGAGGATATTTCTGAATTTTTCTTCCACTTCCAACATCCAATGAGAAGCCAGAACCGTAATGACTCCTGTTCTCAACATGGGTGATTCTTTAACTAGATTGAAATTATAACTTGGGGTGTAAAATGAAATAAATGATTATGTTGTTGATTACAGATATCAATCTGCATTGGCAGGTAAATTTCCATTTCATATCAGGTGATGACAGATCAAACCCCATTTAAATGGACCGTTTTGCCTGGAGCTGCCATAGATAATATACTCCTCGGATAATTTGAGAGTCACTCAGTGCTTCAATGGAATCAAAATTGATCTCATAATTACTCTGTCTTCCATTTTATAATCAAAACTTCATTGGGAATAATAGTTCACTTTCAATCAAACTAGTAGGTGCATTTGCGATCAATAATTTATTGTCGTTTTACATGAACAAATATGATGAAAGGAAAGCTTTTAAATCAGAAAGTTATCTATTCATTATGTAAGCAAGTGTATGTTTGTAATCACAGTAGTGCATGGTTTCAATAAAGCTCTATGTATATTGATTTTATAGATTGTAAACATACCAAATGAGGGGCTCAACAGGCATTGTTGACTAACAAATATCAAATCTTTGAAATTTTGGTTCTGATGAAAGGGATGAAATAAAGAAATTATATCAAAATGTCATTATACAGTTGGTTCCATGTGAAAGAGCTGAAAATCAACTAAACAACAAGGTGAGTTAAAATGAGAGCCTTACAAAAGTCCATACTCAAAGGCTTACAAAGGACCCTGTCTTATAGCTGGATCAGGGATATTCTCTTGCAACTGATCAAGAACATGGAAATGAACTTCCATCATTTCATCAAACCAACTATCTCTGCAGATTCTCAATCAATTTATTTTTATTGAAGTAACCTCTTATCGAGCAATGAAAGCTTTGTAATGTAGGTCAACAGGTTTGTTTGAAATGGATTGTTGTTCCTGAGATCATGATAAACCAGAGCCTCAAATACTTAATTTCAAACTAAGAATCACAGCCAAAATACAGACCTCATCTCTGGAGGGCAGCATTTTGAGGTCCATTGACCAACTATAGCACACAATTTTACACATATGTTGACAAAACTAGCTGTGCTCCATCAAAACAAGAAAATGACCACAGACAACCCATGATCATATTAACTCTGCTGGTCCATTACCAGTGGAGCTAATGCTTGGTATTAAGAATCTGCAGAATCTCAATACTACTTCACATTTGAAGAAACTACAATTATAAATAACCCTTAGTATAATTCAAAAGCCCATGGAAATTCCAGGACAGATCCATACACTTCCAATAAGAGCTAACCCATGGCAATCAGTTGGTGACAATGTGTCACCTGCGTGCTTGTGTATCATTGTACCCAGTTTGCATAGATTGTTGGTCATGCAGTCAACCATTGGTCTGTATGACATAGACTCGGGTTATCTTACAGGCTACTACTGGAATATTACCAAGGTGTAAACAAGAGATACTCACCAGGAGCACTAAAATGACAGTAACCTATGTGCAAGGTTGTGTAGGAAACGAAACATTGCAATATGACAGTGATTGCTTATTGGTTGGCTGATCACTTTTCATGCTGGCTGTACATAGTGCCATTCCTACAGCATCAGGGTTATCAATCATGTTTACACAGCTATGAAACATTAAGGATATATCAAGGAAATTAGTGTTTTCAGACATGACACTAAGAAATCATTTTTAACATTTGACCTTGAATATTTACATAAACACAATGTTATGTACAAGATTAATCCTGTTGATAAACAAGAAGCTTTTTCATCAAGTTAATTTTTTCAAGAGGCATCAGATAAGTTCAGACAATGCGTGCACTGACACATACATTTCAATGTTTCCTTTCTCATTCCTTAAAGGATAGGGCTTTAAAAATACCTCTCTCTAAAAGGTCACAAATATATTTTCATTATTCAGATCAACTATCTTACAAAATGTATAGAAGATATTTCCTGACTTTCAAAATTTGATAAATATAATAACAGCAGCACAACAAAACTGGGCACTGACACACAATGGAAGTGAATGACAGTGCCAAGGTCATAAAATGAGAAGGCCACTAAATGTGTGAGAAATTCCACTTCACTTATTTTTACCGATAACGTTATGGTCCTTGCAATGAAATGATATCGCAAGAATATCAACACAATACAACTCTCTCTGTCCACGAATAATCAATGCTTGTTGATCTGGACTGTCAAACAAGTAGAGACAGTGCTGATAAAAACAGTTCCTAAGTCAGATGACTGCTAAATATTTTCATTGATTCCGAACCTTGGATTTATTTCCTGCCTTCTGAAGTCCATCCTTCCAAACAGAGCTGAAATAGAAACTCTGGCCACACTGCAATATGACCATTTTCTACTTGTTGAATTTCAGCTACAAACATCAAAGAAACTGATACTTCATATTCCAAACACCATTGAAAATTCATTTGACCCTTAAGTTCTTTTGAGTAATATGTCTTTTACTTCTCTTTTGTCTAGACAAGAACAACATCCAGCTTTTCTGATTTTATTATCTTCAATCAACACTTTTATCTTTTATCCTGCTTCAGACGTCTGGAGTTTCAACAAAACAAAGCTCATAATTAGACCATATTCATTTCCGTCTTTTATGAACTAGTATAAAAACGGATATTTATCCCCGATAATAATCAGTTTTATTTTCTCTCCGATGTGATTATGCTATCAGCAGGACTGTAGGCAGATTTATAAACTAGAGGCAACAGCTTGGACTTAATTGTCAGTTAATAGGGTTTTCCTAAACCTACATAATATGACAAAATATTTCCTTGCAAGAGAGACATATTACAAATAAAGCTATCAAATATGAATACATGAAATGGGAAAAGTCAGCTTATATATGTGATGGAGGCATTTGCAAGGTGTATTCACATTACATACATAATTTCTCTGATTAACAAGTATGATATTAGGATATGTTTAAGAGATGTGATGAAGTTGGCAACATCATTGCCTATGTATGATGGTACCAGTATATCTACAGTGATGGGATACAGGGTCACTCTGTAACCTTTCAAGTTATGCCATACTTGGCACAACA